ATGATACTTACCCCTCGCAGCTGGTGATATCACTGGGCTGTCTCCTTCATTTAAATCCTGACGCTTTGGAGACATCCATCGAGCAAGTGACGGCATGGTCCTTAACCCAGCTGTACTAAAATTGTTCTCACCTGACTTGTTTACAAGTATGAGTAAAGTGTCAATTTTGTAATAATGATCCGCAACTTCTCGGAGTATCTTGAAAGCTAAATAAAGGGAGTTAGGGAGTTAGGGAGTTAGGGTGTTAGGGTGTTAGGGTGTTAGGGTGTTAGGGAATTACTGAGGGGCAGTCGTCCCACGTCTGTCCCGTCAATAACAAAGACAAGAGCGTCTGGGGGTTTCAGAGTAATATGCTTGCTTGAAGGATTCAGCCTCTTAACGTTGTTGTATTCCGTATCGAAATTGTTATCGGAGTCATATAATACGAACAAGTCTGGTCCAAGATTGGCCACGGAGACTTCAGTACCCTCAGTTGTTCCTGGATCCTCGTTGAGGACCGCGTGAGTCACAAACCGTCTGGCGAGCGAAGATTTACCGCAAAACCGCGGTCCCACGATCCTCACATGGTGAACATGTTGAGAACCAAATGTCTCAGACAAGCAAACCTTCAGCCACGTCGTAATACATTCCACTACAAAATAGAATATCAACAAAGTTCTGGCCACGTGTGCTGGGCTCGGCACGTGTAAGCGCCTGCACACACGGGTGTCCTGGTACATGGGTGTCGGGACGAAGACATGTCCTGGTACATGCACGTTCAGGGAAGGGCCTGGTACTTGGAAAGGTTTGGTCTTCGTCTTGCGCGAAGGATAAAATTATGATGATCGTGAACCATGCAAAGGTGATACAACAAATACATATCAAGGATAACTCATCCATCGGACACTTACTCTCCTCGAAAAACTGCCTTCGCCAAAATGTGCACCCATGCCACCTGCCCACACTACATATCAATGAATGCCACCACACCCTTCTTTGACCCGTAATGGTTGGCTATGTTGCATTTAACATGGCCTGTTATTCTTTTTGGTCTCTTTCTGCAAAGTTCCCCGACCCACTAAGCACATCTCGCTTTCGTCTGTATTGCGAGTGTGGGTGGCATCCATCTCAGAAGGAATTTTACAATCAGATATTGCCCAACCATGCATGGTCCGCAGTGGAATCGTTTTCAGGCCGTGGACAATCCTGCGATGTCAACGGCTTGGCGCTATGCGCGGGAAGGAGACGACATACCACGCGAAAGACTATGGTGCAGGCGCTAGAGCACAGTCTCAATAGCGCCGATCCGGACTTCTTCTTTTCAGATCATCGGTGTCGAAGATGTTCTATACCGTGGAGTTAATATGGGTTGTCCTTAAAACTGGAGTCGCCTCGTCGAACTTGTCCGAAGTCATTGCATCA